CTCTCTCTCTCCTGCGAGCCTTCCTTCTGTCTGGCTGTCTCGCCCTCTCTCATGCGTGTGCTTGCTTGCCTCTGTGTCTCTGTGTCTCTCTTTCCTTCGACGGGGAATGGTTGAGGAATGGGTTCAAATTGAAAGCAGAGGCGGAGGAATGGGTTCAAAATGAAAGCAGAGGCGGAGACTATGTATAAATGCTCAATGATGAGAGGACGACAAGGAGCAGGGAAACAGAAAGAGGCAGTGTGAGAGCTGCTACAATGTTATAAGTTTCTTCTTCTTGACCAAATTTGTAACCTGCATTAGCAGATTCAGCAGTGGGTACCACATTCTCAGGAGAATGGTTGAAGAAAGGGTTCAAAATGATGCAGAGACTATGTATACATGCTCCATGATAAGAGAACAGGAAGGAACAGAGAAACAGAAAAAGGCAGTGTGAGATGATACATTTGGCAATTAGAACAGTGGGTACCAGATTCTCAGGAGTTGTCCTCCAGAGAGAACGACCGTTTGAATCTGTCCTATCTGGGTGGTATTTAGGATCCCTTCCACCATGCTATTCTGCAAAACCTTGCCTCAATGTATGCTATCCTGTCCAGAATCCAGCTGGTCAGGTCATGAGGTTGTGTTTGTGTTACGACTCACATATCTCATGAGGTTGCATTTGTGTCACGACTCGCGTATTTCATGAGGTTGCGTTTGTGTCACAACTCGCGTATGTGTGTGCGTGTGTACGCGTATGTGTGTGGGTGTGGGTGTGGATGTCTATATGCACGTTTATGTGTGTGGGTGTGGATGTGTATATGCGTGTCTGTGTCCGTCTATGTTTATAGTGCCACATGCATGCCAAGCAGTTCCCCACCTGTTCTCTGCCTTCTTGCCCTAGGTTCTTTTAACGGTTACATCGACCATCAGGTCTGCATACGTGTGTATGTGATCATATGGTCAGTGGCTTCCCCAAGGGGGCCACAACATTGCATGGTTTGGCCCGGCGTCTTGGGCCCTGGACCATGCCCTGGGACACATGTGCCTGTATTGCTAAAATGTCAATTGCATGCTAGGCAGCTCTCCAGCTGTTCTGTGCCTTCTTGCCTAAGGTTGTTCTAGCAGTTACAGCCGCCACCAAGTCTCTGAAGTCATGAAGAAAGTCTAAGAGCACTTCATGAATGGGTACGGGTTAAATCACCACTAGGTCTATAGGTCTGGAGAATCATGAATGGGCCTCTCCAAAAAGTTTGGGGACTCAGGACAGCCCCCCCTGGGGGCGGGCCTAATTTTTCTTTCGTTCAGTGCTAGGACTGGTCCCACCTCAAGGCACGGGACTACGCTTGGTTTTCCACCCGCCCTTCGGAGGCCGTCCCAAGCCTCCTATATTTTAGGTGAGCCTCAATTGCGATTCTCAACTTGGCTGGGGCCATGTGCTGGTGGGCCTGCGAGGAACACCACTTAAATTCCTTGACCATCGCTTTTGTATTAATTCAGCAGATAGGTGTTACCAGTCCGGTATGCATGAGGATGCGTCTAGCGAGTTATAACTTGTAGATCTGGAAGCCGTGCAGCTGTGAAGCATGGGATATGGTTGTGAAATGTTGCGTGCTTCACCGATGTTTGTTTGGAGCGAGGATGCCTGGAATACGTGTGAATTTGTGCATGAATGGGAACACGGGAGCTGACCTGGTTCATGCATGCATGTTTTGTTTGAACCAGGGAGGATGCCTTAACTGTGTACGAATTAATGCATGAAAATGCCATGAATCGAATTGCGGAGGCGAAGCGTCTGCTCTTTGAGCCTTCATGAATGCGCTGTTATGGCATGCATGCTTTTTTTCATCTACTGTTGCCAGTTGAAGGTAAGCCACATGCCCCGAGTGTGATGTGAACACGGCAATTACTGCCCCAGGAAGACTACCGGTCCGGACCTGGTGCCATCTACCTGGGAGAAACTTGGGTAGGCTTGGTGTATCTTGGCATCTTGAGTTGGATTTCTCTGTTAGTCATTTTCGTTCATGGCTGAGACACCACTACTAAACTACTGTAGTCTTTTATTGGTAGACCATAGATCTGAAAATGCCTCCTGTTGTGTCTTCTGGTGTTTGTGTGCAGTATGAAACGACTAGCAACTACATTATTGAGTTGTTCAAGCCCCTTCTTCAGAGTTACACGGTAAGTCGCCTCTTTCGTGCATCACCTGCTCGTATCATCGTTATTTTTTTTTTTTTTACCTGCTCGAGTACTCGTTAAGATTCCTTTTTTCTTTTTCTTTCTTGGGGTGGGGGGTGGGGGGGGGTTGTTGAAGGTGATGGTCTGATGAGGCCATCTTCATAGATGGGTCATACAAGAAGGTCAAACATGCATTTTCCAATCTTGAAATCTGCAAAGTGGTGAATGTGAGTGTGTGTTTGATATCGTATCCTGAGATCGAAAAAGGATAATATGAAGAACTTGGATTGTTGCTCTTTGGACCACCAGTTCAGCCAGGTCAAAGTTGAGGTCTTTAAAAATTATACCTAGGTTTCCCGGCGCCCCTGTCCGGGCTCCCCGGGCGGGTAGCCCAGGGTGGGGTCCTGCCCGGAGTACCCCGGGGACCGCATTAATGCGCTGATTTTTTTGGTTTTTGAAGCCATGCCGTTACTGCGCTTCACCAGTGACAGTAGCCTTCGAAGCCCACAACCTAAACGCAGCGGAACCACGACGCAACGCGATCCGTCACGGTGTGCAGCATACCGAGACCACAGGATGGGGGACACGACGGGCACAAGCGCGCATTCCAACAAGTCGGGCGGATGGCGGGCCCAACCTCGCGACGCCGTCGGAGGGTACTATCCAAATCCGGCCTTTTTTTTGGCTGCCTGTCGGGGGGGGGCTATGGCAGACGAGTTAGGAGGGGGCCTACAGCGGAGGAGGAGGAAGGGCGGGGTGTATGACGGAGGAGGGAGAAGGGACACAATGGCGGAGGAGGGAGGGAGCAAGCAGGAAGGCGATGGTGTAAGGAGAAGGGAGGCGATGGAGTACGGAGGGAT